CCTCATTTTTGTTTTCTTTATAAGTTGATCCCTCACATTCATTCTCTTTTCGGTGTACGTTACATTTAGTGTGTATTGCCCTGCCTGTCCAAGTATTATTTGTGAACTTTATTCTTCATCTTCGTCTGCCTTCCAACCACCCCTGGCACTATACACTGAGTGAAGTCAGCTAAAATGGTCCACGGTTTGGTAAATTACTTATAATATTAGCTATCAAATTAGCTATGCATGAGATCGAATGTTTTTTTGTATGTTTTTTTAAATAGGATGTTCTGTTAAAATGGCCAAATAAAAGAGAACAACAGTATTATTAATTTATTAAAAGTAAATTGACACTATTGTCTTTAGTGTGCCATAGCAACAACACCATAAATGTATTTCATAAAATATAAAGCTGAACGAATATTTGATTAAAAAAAACTGAACATTGTATAGGTGTTTCTGTGTTGGTGTCTTTTGTGTGCATGTATGTGTATGCTTGTTAAATATTTGTCAAACATTTTGTTAAAGACTATAGCCATCTTTGACACAAACCAAAACAAAACTAGGTGCGAAAATATTTGCAGTCAGGCCAGTTATATCTTTTGCTGCATTCCCTTCAAAGGCAGTCTTTGCAGATATAACCATCTTCATCACAGATGCCATTATCCTCTCCACAGCTCTCGTGGTACCATGAATTGCACTGACAACAGCACACCCAGTCCTCTGTGGCCTTTGGGTCATTAACACAGGCTTGCTCTCTGGCATGCTGTGCAGGGGTATTTGCTACTCTTGTTTTTTGGCTGTATTCCCTTTTTGATTTCTTTTTGTTTGTTTGTTTTGTTTTGGTAGTAACTTGCTTTACTTATTTGAAAAAGGTATCTCGAATGTTTTGTTAATTTAAAAGTAATGTGTTATTTTAATAGTTATTTTAATAGCTACTTGAAATGTGTTATCCCACACTGACCTTATGACATATACATAAAAAATAAACATAAAAATAAGATAAGTTAACTATTTATAATAATAAAATATATCTGCCAGGCCCAACAACATTTGCATATTGAGTGATAGTGTGTTTTTTGTTAACTAATAATAATATTATTAAAATTCATTAATAGGCTTTATGCCATAGACAGTATAAGAAATGGACAGAGCCATCTCATTGGAACTCAGTTGAGACAGTTGAAGCCCATTTTTAGCGATTTTTGAGCACTTCCGTTCCTGACGCGCAGACTCAAACCGACTCAAACTAAGCTTGATGACGTGAGCAACCTGTCTGACAGACGTTAATCTTCTAGTAGCTGTGCGTGAAAATTGCCAACGTAAATCTTGCAGAGACGGGGAACTTGAGCAAAGAGTTCTTTGGCGTGAGTGAGCAGGAGTAAGTATTCCGTTGCTTTTATGGACTCATTATCTATGGGCTTCTCCCTTGACGGGACGTCCCCCCGATTGCCTGCGAGCTTCTCCTCCTGTCTGTACGGTAATTTCTGTACAGCGCGACAGAGAGTCGAGTGGTTATGACGCAATCGTTAGCTTATTTTTACTAAATCTGTTTCTACGGGGCCATAATGTAACATAGAAGGTAATGGAGCCCTTTATACATTGTCGTGTTTCTTTAGAAATAAATAATGGACAAATGGAGTCTTTAAACGCCTCAGATGTAAAGTTATTCGCTGTCAAAGTGACGCCAAAATGAATGGGATTCAATGGAAATGCTAACGCAAGTGAAGTTCTGCTACAACATGGCGGCCCCCGGCGGGCTTCAACATCCGGTCGATGGATTACCCCCTTGCTTTATGCACAGCTTCACTACTTCCTGAACTTCAGCCAGCCCTTTGTTTCCTGTCTGTCATTATTGGACAAACGGATTAATCCAGGGGCATGTTCAAGATCACAACGGTGCACAACGTTTTGCTACGGTTTCCGGGTTGAACGTCATGTTTCCTGGAAACGGCGTGCACCGGTGTGCAACGGGGTCAGATGCGTTTTCTCTTGTTTGGTGGGTGTGTCAGAACTGCAGTCCAATCAGCAGCAACATGTGTATAAAGCACACGGTATTAAAGAGAACTCGCACAATGGAAGTAATTTACAAATATGTTCGATACGCAACAACTGAGGATATTAGAAGACATGTTTGTCGTAAGTATTATTGTAAAAATATAGGATATCAACATAATGATGTAGTTATATTTTTAGCTTCATTGCAAGTGTGTGACATTTGGTAGGCTATAGAAATAAACAATGCATGTAAAGTGCTTTTCCTAAAAATGAGAAAGAAAATACAGGGTATTAATAAAACAGTATGAACAACAAATAAAGTCAGTGTGTGAGGCTAAATAGATGTGTTTTAGTCTTTATTAGGTAAGATGTGCTTCATTTCAGTTTCCACAAATCCCTTCACTCGATTGGGATGTTCTCTTGTGTTCTGGGCGGCAATCGGGCATTTTTTGTAGTATTAAACATATTTATACCGACTTAATCAGGCTCCGAAAATTATTCACAAAGAACACAAAAAGCCTTCTCAGCTGCCGTAGTTGCAACTCTTGCGTCATCACAACAGTGCGTTCAACGCATCACCGTTTCTGTTTAAAAAACGTTCTGCAACGTTTTGTCGGCGCTGAACGCAGCCCTGGATTAATCAGTTTGTCCAATAATGACAGACAGGAAACAAAGGACTGGCTGAAGTTCAGGAAGTAGTGAAGCTGTTCCTAAAGCTAATTGAACTAAAATATAAATATTAGATGAAAAGCTTAAAAAAAAATTAAATGTTGGAAACTATAACTGCAATACAATAAGTTTAAGTTCTGAAAGTACTAAACTAAAACTGATTTGAAAATTAAAGCTAAAAAGTAATATTAAAAAAAGAATAACGACAAACGCATACAATTACTAAAACTTTAAGTAAAAATAAATACAAAAGCAAATTTTAAATATTAATACACTTTACAGTATAATGGTTTATAAATAATCCTACTTTAAACTTTGTAGTATTTTTCAGCAACCATTCTGTTATATCCAAAAAGAGGCAATCAATTCATAATATGTGCCACTCTCTGTGTAGTTCACAGACTGGTACTGACTAATGGAAAAATTCCTGAAGCCCAAAAACAATGGTGCTGACAAGAAGGAAATGTCAACCAAGATTTACAAGTTAAGATTTACTTACAATGCAACAATCTGGCAGATCCAGTTCTTCGCCAGTTATGTAGACCTTTGTCCATTTTGGTGATGCATGTTTTGGTGATTCATGACCTGGCTATGACTTCACATTACCGGTTTCCTATTTCAGTTACACAAATCCTGAAGATCTGCAGAAAAAAAATACAATGATTAAAATAAAAATGTCAAGACTACAAGAACAATGTCACTAGAGTACACTGAAGCAAACTGAAATATAGCTATAAATGGCTATACATTTCTTGAAGCTATAAATCTCGTTATCTCTCTTCTCCTGATCAACCACTAGAGGTCGGTAATAATCTATTAAGATACTGAACTTTGAGTTGGCAGGGGTGAGGCCAGAATTTTCTTCAAAACTCTGATCTGTCATATTAAACAGAATAAAAATAGGGGTGTACAAAAAAACAAAAATAGCAATAAATATTAATACTGTTTACAAAATTCTTATTTTGTATAAATATCAAATTAAATATGAAGGGGTTGTTAAATTCTCACCACTGATGACCAAGAGCAACCCAGAAGCTGTGCCATTTCAGAGATACTCTGACCACTTGCCATAGCAAGTCGTTTCAATCTTTATTCCTGCCCATTTCTCCTGCATCCAATGTGTTGATTTCGAGAAATCATTGTTTGCTTACCATCTAATTGCAATAAGTATAGTCAGTAATGGTTTAGTTTTCAATTTGTTATGTTCCTGTTCCTAGTTAGTTTCTTTCCTTGGTTGATAATTAGCTACACACACCCTTTTCTCTTCAGTTCATTATGTCTCACTGTGCAACATGACATCATGACTTTGCGTAAACATACACGCCACTTTCAATTCAAGTGGCGTGTTATCTATACGCATTTTCAGGTATCCGCGTGTATGTCCACGCCGAAATCTTTTGCGTGTATGTCTACGCCATTAAATGTCCGAGTGATTCCGCGTGTATGTGTACGCCGTTAAATGTCCGAGCGAAACGAAGCAAAATCTATATCTACATCTGTGGAGCGATATTTCTTTTCCTAGGATGGTAGGAGAAGACTCATAAATGGTATTAACCCCAGTGACGGGTAGGTTTAGGGACGGGGTTGGGGTAGGTCATATATTTATATATACATAATACAGTAATATAACGTTAAGTCAAAGGCGTTGATAAACACGCTGAAAAGCGATTATGCGTGTTGATAGCACGCCAAAAATGAAAATACGAATTGGCGTGTCATACATACGCCATTTCATGAGATCAGTCTGCACTGTGTATATAAACCCTGAGGGGCTGTTTACACAACAAAGATTTGCTTAAAACGAAGAGTTCCCTTTCGTTGTCACTCCGAGTTCCGTCGGATGACGACGAATGGGGGTTTCAACTTCGAGTATTACAAAACAAGCCAGTGGCAAAGAAATGCCATGGGTCTGCGGAATTTGCATGGCGCAACTCCGCCCCACCTCGTGGGTATAAAAGGAGGAAGCCGGCAGCATGCAGATATGTTTTCGCTTCGGAGCCAAGTTAATTCGTCGTTCCTTTAGCCATCTCTGATTTTGTCAGCTTCTTACGAGACAATCAAACTCTCCAGTGTTGGTGTGACGGCGATCTCCTGGCGAGTGCACACTTCCTGCTAATCTGTGCGTGGTTTGCCAGTTGGTGTATTTCTCCGCGGGCGCTTTAGCACACGAGTTTTTATCTCACAATAGAGCTTGCACGCGGCACGTCTTTTTAAAGATGCCTCGCCCGTGTACTTCTCGTTGCGGTCGACTTGTATCCGACTCTGATGGGCACGAGCGCTGTCTAGTGTGTTTGGGCATTGATCACGCTAGAGCAGCGCTCGTGGATGACTCATGTTCTCTCTGTGGGAACATGACCATTGCAACACTACGATCGAGACTCAGTGACCACGCAAGAGTGAGAGCCCCCTCATCCACACCCCGATCTAGCGCCTCCATGAGAGGCTCTACTTCGGCTGGTGGCCAGGATGATCTGAGGGTGACTGTGTGGAACAAAGAGCCGGCTGTCTGTCCGTGCCCCACAGCACCTTCTTCAGTGTTGCAACCCGCGAGTGTTCAGGGGATTGCCGCGGGACCATTTCCGGGTGCCCCGCGGGTTTCCTTTGGCGCTCCAGAGGAAGACGCGATGTCGATTGCAGCATCACAAAATGGGTCTGATTCGTCTGAAAGTGACGACTCGTCACAGCTGCCACCTTCGGGTGTGAATACGGCTGTGGCTCAGTCTGATCCAGAGATGACGGCCATGCTTTCCCGGGCACCCGCGTGCATCAGGTTAGAGTGGACCCCTCCACCCTGTCCCGAGCGCTCGCGGCTGGACGATTGGTTTTTGGGTGCAGCTGCTGGTTCCCGTCTGCAGCCTGCCCCAATACCTTTCTTCCCGGACGTGCATGATGAAGTCTCGAAGCCCTGGAAGACTCCCATGTCTTCTTGTGACCGCTCGTTGATTTCATCCGCCTTTCCTCCTCTCGATGGGGCAGCTGCCCGTGGGTACACTGGGCTCCCCTCGGTTGAATGCTCTGTTGCGATACAACTGTGTCCTCAGAGTGCTTCTTCTCGTGGCGAGCCTAAGCACCCATCCAAAGCCTGTAGGTTTTTGTCTATGTTAGTGGCGAAGTCCTACAGAGCGGCGGAACAGGCAGCTGCTTCTCTGCATGCCATGGCCACTCTGCAGGTCTACAAGGCCCAGATGCTCAGAGACATGCACGAGGGTAGGACAGACCCAGGGCTCTTTGATGAGCTGCGCGCCGCCACTGACCTCGCTCTCCGGGCAACGAAGGTGACCGCACACTCCCTGGGTTTGGTCAATTGCCTCGAGTTGCTGGCTGTACGTCTTGCTCTGCACCGCTTCAGGGCCATGCTCAAGAATCAACACGTACTAGTCTGATCAGACAATACCGCCACTGTAGCGTACATCAACCGTCAAGGTGGTCTACGCTCCTGCCGTATGTCGCAACTCGCCCGCCACCTCCTCATATGGAGTCAGAAGCATCTGAGGTCGCTTCGTGCCATTTATATCCCCGGAGCGCTGAAACTGTGCAGCCGACGAACTCTCACGGCTTCAGCCCCTCCCGGGTGATTGGCGACTCCATCCCCAGTCGGTTCAGCTGATTTGGGACCAGTTCGGGGACGCACAGATAGATATCTTTGGCTCTCACGACTTGACCCATTGTGCCCTGTATTATTCCCTGACCGAGGGCGCGTTTGAAACGGATGCACTGGCGCACAGCTGGCCGCGGGGCCGCAAATAGGTCAGGGAGGACAAGGAGCAGGTCATTCTGGTCACGCCGTACAGGCCCACCTGGACCTGGTTCTCTGAACTCGTACTCCTCGCGACAGCACCTCCTTGGCCGATTCCCCTGAGGAAGGACCTCCTTTCTCAGGGACGGGGCACCCTATGGCACCCTCGTCCCGATCTTTGGAACCTCCACGTGTGGCTCCTGGACGGGACGAGGCAGGTTTGAGTACCCTACCACCAGCGGTGGTGGCTACCATCACTTCCGCTAGAGCGTCGTCCAGGAGACACGTCTATGCGCTGAAGTGGAACCTCTTCGTTAACTGGTGCTGATCGTCAGGTTCCTGAGAGGAGCGAGGAGACTGAATCCTACTCGCCCTCCTCTCGTTCCCTCTTGGGACCTCTCAGTGGTTCTAACTACCCTGCAGAGTGCTCCCTTTGAGCCTTTGCAATCATTGGAGCTTAAGTTCCTGTCAATGAAGACAGCACTCCTGGTTGCATTGGCCTCCATCAAGAGGGTATGGGACCTGCACGCATTCTCCGTTGACGAAGCAAGCCTGTAATTCGGGCCGGCCTACTCTCACGTGATCCTGAGACCCCGGCTTGGATATGTGCCCAAGGTTCCTACCACTCCCTTCCGGGACCAGGTGGTGAACCTGCAAGCGCTTCCCCCGGAGGAGGCAGACCCAGCCTTGGCACTGCTCTGTCCAGTACGTGCTCTTCGCATCTATGTAGACAGAACGCAGTGTTTCAGGACCTCAGACCAGCGCTTTGTCTGTTATGGTGGTGTAAGGATTCAGGGCGGATCTAATCCGTGGGGAATTTGCATATCATAATTAATAATTGGTAATTAATAATTATTCATACATGTTTGGATTAGATCAGTCTTACATTAAATTTAATCTCCCTCTAAGGGAGGATCTGTCATTTTACCTGCATGCATACGTGTGAATCCCGGAAATTAACCACAAGTTGATTGTAGTTAATTACACGGACCATGTTTCACAAACAGGTAAAATGAATTAGCTCAATTGTCAGGATAATATTTGTGGGATCCACAATATCATCTTACTTTATAGGATTTCAGCAAACGCAATTCTCTGGCCAGAAGAATTGGGTTTCCCGCCCTATCAACACATAACGTTACTCTTTAAAGTATCTTTAATTCGTAAAGCTTGTAGCATAAGTTAGACCTTTGGCACTTAAGTGACTTGAAATTGAGCAAAGAGACAGCACATCAATCTAATGAATATATGATTAATTTAATAGAGGCATGACTACTTATGTATTTACTACGGTTACATGGGATATATGTATTTACAAACACATAGACAACAATGAACAATACAATAAGACATCAATGAACGAGAAATGCATAAAGTTTGGACAATGGATAACGTACATGCGTGAGCGAGTAAGAGAGAGAGAAAGAGGGAGGGGTAGAGAGAGAGAGAGAACATTGACAGAATTTCATTGGCAGGAAGACATTCACCTCTCCGATTACAACACGAAACATCATCTTAAAACTTCTTAGAAGCTCTATAAAGAGATTATACTTGCACAAGTTATGTTATGGTCTGTCTCTGTGTGTTGAGGCATTCCTATACGGCCCTGTCTGGCCGCGTGAGCTGAGTCCTTTGTGTGTGAGGAAACGTCACGTGGGCTGCTTGGCGCGTGTGTTGAGCAGAGGTTTAAAATCTTGGAGGTAACATTACCAAAGAAAATAGATCGGCTAAGTTCGCCTCCTTTCCTGGGAGGTGAACTTGGTAGGACACTTAAGAAAAAGACGAAACTTTTAGACGAAACAAAAAAACAAAAAGGGATTTCCCGAGGGGAAATCGAGTCAACGACTACATTGTTCAGCAGACGAGGAGACCAGCGGAGTAAGAGAGCGAGCGAAGGGGAGAAGCGTCATTTATCACTTTTGGAGAAATCCAGCCTCTTCCTGTTGGCTTGGCCAATTAGAGGGTTGGAAGTTTACAGGCGGGACTTTGGGTTTATGGCCCTTTGTCTCCAGAGAGAGACATCTGAAACCCTAATTTCGTCGGTTGTTTAAGAGAAGAATCTTCACAATTCTTATAATACTAATGTGTCACAAAGTTTAGCAAAATGTAATGTCAATTAACAAATGGGGAACGAAGATTGGAGTTTATCGAGACCAAACTTGCCACAAATGGATTTGGTTAAACATTAGTTGGCAAAAATTGAAACATTATCCAATTAGAGTTGTCGAGAAACATAGACCAAACCACAGAAAGGCAACTCATGAAATAGGGAACTTAGATACATCGTTCATACAATTCTCAAGTGGATATATAATAGCATATATATATGAATACAGGATTCATTTCTCCTCCTTGGTTAGAATTCAGAGAGAGAGAGAGAGAGAGAGACATACTTCTCTGACATTCCTGGTGCGGTCGTAAATGCTGTTATCTAAGAACCCCAGGCTCTGACAGTATGTTAAGTTTTGGTTCTTACTGTCCCAAAAAGCTGGTGCACATAGAATCATAACTTTTACTGTAATTTCTTGTATCTGATTAATTCCGCTGGATCATGAGAATTAAAACAAGACCAAGAACGATGTATAACAATACTGGGAATAGACAGTTAAATGTAAAAATGCATAATGATAAAGTCACAGTTATTCCAATGTGACATGGGCAAATGGACACACATAAAAACACGTCAAATATATCTGGTTGAATGTCTTTTAAAGAAAAGAAGTTCCTTTGGGACATTCCAAAAATGTCATAAAATGTCTTAATGTCTTGTAAGCGGACACCACGCTCTGTCCTGAGTGTGTGTGTGTGTGTGTGTGTGTGTGTGTGTGTGTGTTTGTGTGTGTTTTTTCAAGTTCCAGGCCTTTTGGGGCTAAAGGCTTTGGGATTTTAGCACGAAGGTATTTAGTTATTCAGATTCACCCTGGCCCAGTCCTTACAGTCCCCCTTTTTGTCTGATGAAGTCCCTGTGTGGACTTAATCGGACAACAATCATCACAATGGACGGATGGCAGGTGAATCATGACTCATGCAGCAGGTGGTTATTAGGGCTGAGGATTCAGCTCTATGAGGTTCGAAGCTGCCTCTGGCCTGGTCTCTGACTTGGCACCCCCTTTTTGCGGGTTTCGTCCGAAACCTTTCGTGAGCTTGGCTGAAGATGTTTGTATCTCGTTGAGTCTCCTGTATAGGATGAAGGTCAAGCCCAGTGTCAGGGTGTGTCTGACTACCATAGAGGTACACCGTGCAGTGTCGGCTGCGGTCCAGGCTTGGACAACAGGTGAGGTAGTCAGAATGGGTAGTCGAGACAAAGCTTGGAGAGCTGGGTCGATAGGAGCAATGTCAATTAGCTGGGATCACCCCCCTTTCGCAAACCACAACTCCCGTTCTGGAGTTAGGGTGAAAGTGTGGTACCTGGAGAAGGATGGGATTTCCAGTTTTAATTTGTACTCTTTGCATGGAAGATGGTACCATGCCAGGTCGTCAAGGTGAAGGATGGCACTTTCCGGTGCTTGGATTCACAGGCTCTAGTGGAGCGAGGTGACACAGGTGTCGGTGTCATTCTGGTCGTAAGTAAGTGCAGCTGTGCGCACAGGAGTGTTAGCGAGCCGCCTGTCACTTACACTCTCTGCTTGGGTCTTGATGCCTTGAGTGCGTAGCTTGGCTTCGGCAGGGCAGCGGGTGTCGCTGATCTGCAGCCCGCAGATTCCGTCAGTGTTGTCTCTGAGGAGAGGCTTGTTAGGGCAGAGATAGTGAATTTCTTTGGTCAATGTGCACACGTACGGGTTCGGAGCTTAGGACGGCTTTGTGATGCCGTCGTTGCAGTCAACCCTGTCCGGCGTGTGGATCTTGATGTGAATGTTACTTTTCAAAATCTGACCTTGACAATGTTCTTGAGCCGGTAGATTCGGCTTGACTCTATGATGGGCAAGTTCAAGAGAAAACCCCCCAACTTCTCTGCTTGTAGTCGACGCAGAGAGGGATGGCACTACCCAGAGAGTAGGAAAGGTGTATTTGTAAAGAGTCAGTTGGCGTGGTGATGGCGGACGCCAGCACGGTTTTCACGAGGCTTAAGGGTATCAGGTGCGGTGGAATTCTACCCCTGGCGAGGCTGTCGATGGAGGAGTTCACCCCCTGCAGCAGGTTTGTCATCAGGGCTGTTACCAGCTGAGTTTGAGCAAAGTCATTCACAGTTCCCTTCAGTGTCTTGTCGATGGTCTGCAGGGATGCACTCTGTTGTGAGTGCTCTTTTATCTGTGGAATCTCAGTCTGAATTTCGGCTACATGCCGTCCCACGTTGGCGAGGTTTGCTGCATTCATGCTGGACATACAAGTGTTAAACAGAGTTCGGCAGTGCGGCGGTGGTTGTGGCCACCTGGCTCCGCTAGCGTGACAGTCATTTTCTCAAGTTGCTTGAGCATGTGTTCAACCATGGTCTCAGCGTGAGTGCGGGAGTCCTTTGTCCATCGGCACCTACCCAGCTGTATTGTGTTGTTACGCTGGGGTAGTGTGTTCTGTAGGCGTTGTGAGGATCAGGTGGCACATTCACTTTCTGAGTGCGGGTCCGGCAGAAAAGGAGTCCTGGTGCCAGACCTGGTGAGATGTCCGATTGCGGTTGCTCTCTGGTTGTCTGGAGGCACAGCGGCATCCTGGTAAAAGTGAAAGGGAGAGAGAAAGAGAGAAAGGGAGGAAAAATTTCAGCGAGTCTCGTCCTTTTGGCTAGAACAGTTTTTTCACTTTGAGAACGCCGGTATGCCACTTGCTTCGGTGTCTTGCAAGTGTCTCTGGTGCTGCGGCGTGCAGCGGCATACATTGGCATTTTGAGAACGCCGGTATGCCACTTGCTTCGGTGTCTTGCAAGTGTCTCTGGTGCTGCGGCGTGCAGCGGCATGCATTGGCATTACCCCCCTTTTGCACTGTGGCATCACAAGCTGTGGCGCGGTGATGGCATCAGGTGCAGAACGCTGAATGTTGTTTAGTGCACGCAGCATGTGCTTGTTGACGTAGGTTGTCTGGGGCACCGGTTGTCGGTTTGTGCAGACGGCGTCCGTGGGTGGTTGGAGGGGTTAGAGGTGGTTTCTCATAGTGTCCATTGTTTTGTCATAGTCTTTGGTAAGCTGAAAGGTTAAGGTCAGGTGAAGCAGGGGCTCTGTGACTTTTGTCACACTTGTGGGGAGAGACTAATCCATTACCCTAAAAGTTCAGAACCACGGTTTAACGGGTTCACTAGGTATGTAGCATAAAGCTAGGTGTTTCACGTGTGGCTAGCTAGTGAAGTGTGTCTTGTATCCTTATCTTAGCTGTGGATGTTAGGAGGCCAAGACTTTATGTGGTTCCGAGAGTATGTCCTGAAAAGGGCATAGTCATGGTTCACTACGGCTTGACGAAGTGAATGATAGGGGGAAAAAGGACAGCTGTCCTATTTGAATAATGCTTATTATCAATTCTCTGGACTATAGTTGTGCCCTAGTAAAGTGCTGAAATACTTGTGTTTCAGGGTCACAAAAATGAGTGCGCTTGTTGAAAATAAACACAATCACAAGTATAGGTGTCTCTGTTTCCTTTCTGGGCCCTATGGGGACTGGAACCACATTTGAATAAGAGAGGAAATAAAAGTAAATCATATAGGTGATCGAATAGCCAAGGGAATAGCTGAGTGCTATTATTTTTAAAGTCAAAGAAATTAAAGAATTAACGAAGAGCAAAAAAAAAAAAATTAAAAGCGAAAAGAAATAAAAGTGATCAAAACTACGGGAATGATCTTAAGGCGAGAATAATCAGTGGCCTTAGTGACTAAACTTTGGATTTACCTTGGTCACCACTTCATAGTGGGTTACGGCGATTGCGTGTTCCAGACCACACCGTGTGTGCCCCATCGAAGGGTTAGTCACCTGCCAATGAAAATCCCTATTGCTATATGAATTCTTCTCTAGCTACACAGTTTACATGTAGTTAAACTTAAGTTTAATTAACAGGTCATCTGCGAAGTTATCCTCCGACAGTTAGGAAGGACTATGCCTGAACTAGGGAAGGTAAACTTTAGCTAAGAGGAATTGCAAACACGGAAAGTGAATAATTAGAAACCCTAACCGATGTTAAGGAAAGTATTTTAGAATACGTTACATTGTGTGAACACAAGCGGTGATTAAGGGTTCAAGTAAATTATGCTAACTGCTAACTGTAGAAGTCTTTATTTAGCTTAGCATAAGCTGGATGGACGCCAGGTTAGGTTAGTTTAGCTTGAGCTAGCTGGATGCTAGGTTAGGTTAGCGTAGCGTGAGCTAGCTGGATGCTAGGTTAGTTTAGCTTAGCGTAAGCTGGAGGGATGCTAGGTTAACGTAGCCACCTAGGCTGGTTTGTTTACAAAGTGACATCACAAGTTAGCACTTCCTGTGACAAGTCGGTGTCATGGGAACCATAGCATGTCAGACAATTCAACAGTCCCTAACGAATGTATGTACATTTTTCATGAATTATGCATGTTTAAACGGGTTAACAGGATGCACCTATATTTTAAGTCTTTCTAGGACTCGGTGTTACATTAAGTAAAATGCAGATGTGTTTTGGCATTAGCTAATTTTACTCATGGAACTCTTCTCTTTATCTTACGCAACTTATTCTATTTGTT